TTATCTCAGAATCTGTGCTCAGACAGAATGGGACTCTTTCTGAATAACTTAATTATGTATCTTACACTTATTCTAATAGTTATTTGAGGGTGTGGGTCACTAAAGGCTACAGTGAGGGCTCTAGAAATGGTTTTAGCTCCATGAATTAAGGTGGGTGAATTTGGGGATGGTTTGGGAGAAGGACTTAGAAGCACACATTTGATAGACATGAAAATTAAAGACAATGAACACATTTGCTGTGGATTATGAGTACACATGTGTGTGCATGTGTTAAAGTCTCTCAGATGTAGAGTCACCCGTATTTACAGTCTTCGTTGTGACCGGATCTGATTCTTAGAAGAGACGCCTATGAGAGCTTTCATAGAGACTCCCATAAGTAGGAAAAGTAGATACCCTCTAAAAGAGAAAGTCCGATAGATTATTTGCACCTATTTGCCCATATTTATATCCTTTGCTTTAAGAGTATAAGATAAAATTTTGGTGTAACGTTAGCTTTCTCAAGCTCTGCTGCATGTGTTGTTATGATGAGGTCGTGTCTTAACTTTGTTGTGACTGATTCTTAAACATCCCTTGCTGTGCTCCCTGGTAGTGAAGCCTCTCTGACCAGTCATTCTCAGAACCCAGAGATTTATGTCTACTATCTTCCCTCTCAGTGTCAAAGAGATCATCTCAAATTTTAAGTGGCAACAGATATTTATCTATCCCCCTGTTCATTTATTCTGTTTCATTCCTATATCCATTTTTCAGTAAATGTATATTGATACTGGTATTCACCTTAGATTGTGTTGGTCTAAGATGTATAGTCACAAATATATCTAGGCTTTATGGCTTAGTAGGCAAAAGCAGCTTTTATGGAAATGTAGCACAATATGGTACAGGGTGTTTGAGAAGTATACGATATTGAGAAATTGAAAGGGTGGAGGACATGGAGCACTAAATAGGGAAAATGATTGTCCTGAACTGGGCTTTAAAAGTGAGGAAGGAAGAGCAGCCCAGGAATAAGAGCAGAGTCTGTAAAGCATAGCTAATGTAATTAGAGAAAAGTTTATTTTTTAAAAAAGAGAGGATAAATTTTACCTTGAGATGAACGGTATTAATATTTATTCATTTATTGACATTTGGTCAACTCTGAATAATAATTTAATCATTTTTTTATAAAAAACCACCAAATGGAGGGAAGTTTTACTGTTTTAATTCACACTCCGCTCCACTCTGACGATACTGACATGTAAAAGCTTCACTGAAGCGGACCTCAGGAGCCACAGATTCCTCCCGGACTCTTCTCTTAACAGTTTGTCCATGTTCTGGCTGGCGGTGAGAGTAGTTTCTTCTAAATAGCGTGTAATTAGTGCTTAGCTGTAGCATTGCCCTCCTTTTCTGAATAAGACCTAGAGGTTAAACTTGTTTTCTTTCACCCATTTGAAGACCTTGGCAATGCTTAATTGTTCATGGTCCTCAGGAGGAACATTGCTCCGAAATGGGCTCTTCCTTTATGCCCGGGACAGGCACTGTGCAGTGCACGCAGCCACGCCAAGAGACAGTGCTGGCTGCCTCGCTAATAACCGAACTCTGGGTACCTTATGTTTTTTTCAGAGAAAGCCATACCATTTTATGATATGGCGACTCTCTGCTTAGCTGGATGGCAACTGTCTTCCACTTCTACTCACGTCCTTGGAGACCAGCAGTTGGCAAAAATAATAAACTTTAGTGCGCTGATTTGTGCTGTGTCTGAACTCTCAGCATTGCATAATGCAAAATAATAACATTGTCCTGAGGCCTGCATTTGAAAAAGTAGGGCAAAATCATTCACAGGAAGAAATCTCAAAAAGACCAGTGGCAGCAAGGCAAATATAAAGAAAGACGTGGCATGTGAAGTAGAGCTAATGGAAGGAGAGCAGGAGTATGTGGAGTTTAAGAAGAAATTAAGGTCAGTTGTCTTTAAGCCACATTCAGGAGCTGAAGTTTAAGCAGGAGGGCAGGGAAAAGTGTTGTTTTCTATAGTTGGAAGTCATAAAAGGAGAGGTAATGGTCTAGAATTAGGCACATTCAGGTAAGGCAAGAAGAATTCTTTGAGGAGGAAGTTACCTGAGTCATCCTAATTAGGGCTGCTTAAAAATAGGACAACTAAAATACTGGTGGGATTAACCTTTCTAATCACACTCCCCCAAGATGAGGCCATTAACCCCAAGGCAGATTGAAACAGAGCCTTTCTCTGGAAGTGCTGCCTCTGCCTCCGGCCTCCTTAGATGCGTTACCGCTTTCTGATTCATCTTTGCTTATATTTCTGATTTTCCTGTGGCATGCATTACTCTCCACAACTTTGGCTAACAAATCTTCTGCACCCAAAATACCCTCCTGTATTTACAGATTTATCTAATAAATCATTTCTTGTAAAAATTATCATTAATTGGTCCAGAATTCTCTGTGGCCTGAAGCTATCGCAGTAAGTCCAAATTAATTCTCCTTCTAAGTATCTATGCTAATGGATAATTTATCCAAATTGGAGGGCTGTTAGTACATTCATGATGCCGTCACCGCGGATTAAGGAGCTAGGCACTTTCCCAGGAAGAAAAATGCAAAGGGCTGAGACTGAGTGCTGAGTGGTCTTGAATCCAAAGAAGCTTTCTGAACTTGTGTTGTGGATCGCATGATGAATCAGGTATGAGAATATACATTAATTGCTATGGCCATATTCTATTTGTGGCAAACACTTTACACACACATATACATATATATACACACACACACACATATCTATCGATCTATAGATAAATCTATATCTATCTGTAGATATATCTCTATATATTCATATCTATGTATATATGCATATATTCATATCTATCTCTAGATATCTATAGATGTAGAGATAGATATGAATATATGATGAATTTCTGTCAAGGGAGGAAAAGAAGCAAATACAGTGGTACCTCAGTTAATGATCTGGTCACCAACTGAACTGGACAAGAACCAGATCAAATTTCACCATGGGGCCTGCATTGAACCAACCATTAAATTTGATTCGGTTCTCGTCCAGTTTGGTTTGTGACCAGAACCATGGAGAGAATTAAGTTCATGAACCGAGGCACCACTGTAACACAACAAGGCTATAAATGACTATAAAAATGGCCATATTGGTCCACTCCACCTGAATGGCACAGGTTTGAGCTCCTTCCTCCCTCTTGATGAGCACAGTGTACTCTACTGCTCTTGAAGCTGCCTGAGGGAGAATACACAAAGCCCCAGAGAAGGAAAATGAAAGAATTGCTAGTAACTGTGAAAGAATGGCTTGTTTCTGTCTAGAGCCCAGTCACCTTGATTCTCAAATTTGGGAGTTTTCCTATTTACTCTTTGTTTTTCCCTATATAGTAGATAACACTGAAAGGATTCACTTTCCTGTCCTTTCTCCTCCACATGACTAATATTTTGTATGTCTTAAATTTACGATCGTGATAACTGTACGATTAATCTGGCATAATTTTGCTCGTGAGACCCTTCCGGGATCTCTCTTGCACTTCTTTCCTAAATTCCGCATAGCATTTGTATGTGTTTGTGTGTATGCCTGTGTATGTGTGCACGTGTGTGTGTGTACATATAAATGTTCACGCTTGCACATGTCACACAACACAAAGGAACTGTCCTCCCTCATATGCCTGCTCCATTATTCAGTATCGATGTAACTTGTGATATCCACTTTCTGTGTAGAAGACATTTTAAGGAAGTTGGATATGTGTATGAATCACTTTTTAAATTTCTTTTTCCTCTAAGAGAAAATATGGGTTTTGGAAATAACCTGCAACCTCTAAATCACGTGTGTTAAGTGTGGCAGTTATGGGACTCACTGCTGGGGACACTGGTGACTTCTGCGGATGCGGTTACAGTCCCCATGGAGGTTGCAGTGAGGTGGAAATGAGGTCAGCTGTAACGTTACAAGCACTGGAGGGAGTGAATGGGACTCCATGAACTGCAGCAGGCCGGCCTAAGCTGCCCTGTGGGGTGTTAGCCCAGGAAGTCACAGGCCTGGCTTCTGTAGGGGCGAAGTAGGCAGCAGAGGTGGGTGGAGACCATTGCAGCAGAGAGAAAAAGCCCACAGGAAGGCCTGGAGGGGTCTCAAACGGAAGGAAGGAAGCCTGACTGCAGCCCTGGGGGTGAGCTGGGACCCTGTGAGGGGACCTGATTTAGGGTGGAGGCTGTGCTAGCTATTTGGACTTGTTTTCTGCTATTGTTTAACTGTGTCATTTCAGGAAAGTTTGTTACCCTCCCTAACCTTCAGCTTTCTAATATATATCATGGAAATAGTAATAATAATTCCCACATTATTTGCATTGCGTTGAGAACTAAATGAGATAAAGAGCAGAAGTTCTACTCTCACCGCTGACACATGGCTGCTTGGGTTATGAGAAAGTGAGTGGCGTGGGGACCTTACCTAGGGAGGGGACAGGGAGGGTGAGGAGCAGCAGGATTGAAATTCCCAGGACACAGTACCCACAGGACTTGGAAATCGGCAAAACATGGAGCAAAGGAAGTAGAGGACTCCAGCGTTGCAAGTTTTAACAAAATATAGGACACTTGATTAAACTTGAATTTCAGATGGCAATAATTTGATAGTGTAAACAAATACTATTGCACGAGACATATTTTTATTAAAAATCATGGTTAAATTCGAATGTGACTAAGCATCATATATTTTCAAAGCTGGCTTCTATATCAAAGATGTCCCTGGGATAAGCAACTGAGCAGCCCATGGTGCTATTTGTGAAAGCAGAGAGGAGTGGAGGAGGGCCAGTTTTCAGCTGAAAGATCATGAAGTGCAATGTAAATCGTTTCCTAGTTTTTCTCTGGTCATAATCGACATACTCACTAAGAGCAAATATCACTACAATTGTATTGGGAATTAGGTAGTGCCAAGATAGAATGTTCTGTTTTTCCATGGAATCAGGATATCTTTTTAAGAGAAGCCTGGATCAAATGTCTGTAGAGACTTTTCATTTCTTCATCTCCAGGTTTTTACATTGCTCCAGGCAATGCCACTGGCTGCCTGCCGTGTTCATGCCACACAACGGGAGCGGCGGGCCGCATCTGTGACAGCCTAACTGGACAGTGCCCTTGCCAAGATGTGTCCATCACCGGGCACAGCTGTGACCAATGCAGTGACCACTACTTTGGATTTGACCCTCAGACTGGAAGGTAAATCCTTATAAGAATGAATCATTAAATATTTTGTATAGTTGTGTTTGCAATTACTTTGTGTCTTTACTACCAGTAAGTGGCAGTACTACAGCAATGTCTTCTACCAAAACATTCTTTTTATCAACATATTTTTGAATCTTCAACATCTTTCTATTAAACATAATGATAACCTTTGAATATTTCAGAGTGGGTTGTGATATATTAATAGATGCGCCCTGAACTAAGATCCAAGAATACTGGCTGAGATAAAATCCTTTTTACCTCAACAAACAACTTATAATCTGGATGCAGAGAAAGACAGGTAAACAGGTACAGGTGGAAGAAAATGTAAACGCATGTACACTAAATATCCATGTGCCAGCTAGACTAACCTGTGTGTGAATGTCTGTCTGTGTGTGTGTGTGTGTGTGCGCGCGCGCGCAAGTGCATGCACAAGCTAACATACATATGAGATTTATTACTTATTTGATTTTGCATCTATTTTTTTTTGGCCCCAGGAATTGAATTTAAGACCTTGCGCTTGTGAGGCAGGTGGCGGCACCACTGAGCTGAATCGCTGGCCCTGATTTTGCATCTATTTGTCATTCTTGCTTTCCTAATTTAGGTGGAAAGACTGGCAGATGAGAAACCTAACTTTGTTTCATGATACTTATTTTTCACTGTGTAAAGTACATTCTGGGAGTAACTTAGCCACTTTTCAAAGTCATACTGTCTGCCTTCTCTTCCTTCTCAGTTCCCTGGCTTTGCCTAGGAAAGTGGTCTAGGCCTCTGCCTCGTGGACAGAATAGAACCAGAAATAGAAATTTCTAGATTATCTCCTCTCCACCTCCGATCTATCTACATTTCATGTGTTCTTGTTTATCAAGTCCTGGAAAACAACAGGTAGTTGATTTTCAAAAAATAGCCTGTTCTGGCCTTGCTGGGTTTCTCTCCTTTTTTTTCTTCTCACTCCTCCCTTTCTTTCTTTCTCCTATTCAACCTCCCCTTCTTCCTTCTGAGCTTTCTTCAATCAAATCCGCCCTCTGTTTTCCCTTAAATCTCTTTGTAACCGTCTGTAAATATGCTCACTGCCATCTCAGCCCCTTCCCTACGCTGCCTTGCTTTCTGAGCCCTGAGAGTTCTGTCCAATCTCTCTCTGTGGTCACTTACTGACATTTAAAAGGAGTGGATTTTTTTTTTCCATTGCCTTTTCTTCCCATCATTTCTTAGTCAACACATGAATTATGTATATGAGCTGAACCTGCAAAATGTAGACAGCTAGGAACTAGTGAACTAATCCACTGATGAGTGTCACACCTCCATGATCCAGTTACCTCCCCTAAGCCCCAACACTGGACACATAATGCTTTGCGGGAACATTTAGATGTAAAATACGACATCTATATCCATAGTTTCAAAGGCTATATATATGTTCATGAGTCTCAAATATGACAAACTAGGTCCCTGCTATGGCCAACCAGTGCCTCTGAATCTGAATCTTTGTATCTCTCGTGCATACTGTTCTTAATGTAACCAACACAGAACAAATTCTTCTTTAGATTGCTGTTCTCCCTTCCCTTCAAAAATAAATGTCTCAGGGCCAGGGATTTAGTTCAGTGGTTCTGCTGCCTGCCTCGCAAGTGCAAGGACCCGAGTTCAATCCTGGTATCAAAAAAAAAAGAAAAAAAAAAGGAATTCTTATAGTATGTGTTCTGTTGATTAGTTCTTTCTGTTTTTCATTTTCCAAAAATGATTCCCTTCAAAAATAAATGTCTCAGGGCCAGGGATTTAGTTCAGTGGTTCTGCTGCCTGCCTCGCAAGTGCAAGGACCTGAGTTCAATCCTGGTATCAAAAAAAAAAAAAGTGATATATAGAAGTGGCTAAACTATATTGTAGAGGGTGCTGGGGTTGATGGGGTAAATTGGTCTGAATTTGTGTTTCTGGTCTTTCATTTGCAATGTACAAGTATCTTTAGGCAAGA